GATCGTAACTCACCTCCCACTCTGTCACTTTGAATTTCCTTAATACCTTGCCTGACTTGCAAATCGTGGCGCCAAGTGGCTCATCGTAATTCCAACTGATGACCACCTCTTCAAACCAGCTTTCTGATCTTTCTTCCGCCACCTTCTTCAGCCCCTCTAATACAAACTGTCTAAGTGACACTGCTTCCACGAGTCTGCTTGTGTACCTGACATGCACGAATTCCCGCTTCTCCTGCTTCTTCCTCCTCCATGCAAGCCTTCCTGAGGGTAGTCTCACGAGGCGCCCAACTTCCTCCTCTTCGAAGAGCTCATCCTGCGCATTGACCACTTCTTCTTTGAAGACATCAACCATGCTTGTGGGTGGGTCGTTATCCAAGCACTAGTGGTGGGAAAGAGGAAGAAAAAATGAGGAAGAGAAAAAAAGAAAGAAGAAGAAAAAAACGAAAAAGGAGAGAAACAAAAACAATAAAAAAGAAAAAAGAAAAAGAAAGAAAAAAAAACAGGAAAATAAAGACAAAGGAAAAACTAAAGAGAGAAAGAGAGCATCCAGGAGCTATCCAAAAAACTCACGCACGCATGCTGATTTTTTGGTCTCACGGGGTTTGGATGCATCCTCTCCTTCCTCTTTTGCTCGTGTTTTCTTTCTTCTTTCCCCTAGCTCTGGCCGAGTTGCTTATGGATACCGCCGAGTTGTGTGTCTGATTTTCGATTCAACGAGGACGTGGTACAACGCTGCCCACAAATTTTGTTTTCGCAGGCAAAAAATACTAAAGAAAAAAATAAAAAATATAGGGGTGTAGATTTTTTTGCGCTCTACATCCCCATATTTTTATTTTTATTTTTTTAGCATTTAAATTATTTTTAAACATAAAAAACCTAACCAGACTCTAAACACATCGATTTTTTTCTTTTTTTCTTTATTTATTGATTGATTGATTGGTGGGGGATGGGCCGACCCCCCACCCTCGACCAATCACACACAACACACACACACACACACTTACACACACATACATACACATACACACACACACACACTTACTTGCGCCGGGTTTGAAAGTGACCTTTTCCGTTTTTTTTTTCCTTTTTATTTTTTATTTTTATTGATTGATTGATTGATTGATTGGTGGGGGATGGGTCGGCCCCTCCACCCTCACCCAATCACATACACACACACACACACTCACTTACTTGCGCGGGGTTTGAAAGCGGTTTTTTTTCGTTTTTTTTTTTACTTTTTTTTTTTNGAGGGGCTGGTGGTAACCCACCTGAATTCGGCTATGTCCTTCGGATCGTCCCATTTCTGCGACCCACCTCCTCGCTGTTCGAAGCTGCGAAGTGTGTCTGAACGACGACGTGGAGGGCTGCCTCCTGCTCCAACACACCACACACGACGACGATGACAACAACGAAGGGGAAACAGAACTCGGGGCACACACAAGGCCGACTGAAGGGGTGGGGACGACGATACGCAGGGCCGAGTACTTGAAAAAACGAAGTACTCGAAAAAACCTGCCCTTCGATTTTGGCGGGGCCGAGCGTGCCCAGAATTATTAATTTTTTTTTTTTGTGAACCGGCGACGCGAGATAGTATTGGCCTTCCAACCCCCCCCCCCAACTTTCGAATTTCTTGGGGAACCCCTAGAATTGAGTATGCGCCGCATCGGGTGCGCGCACATCGTGCGCTCTGCGCGGTGCGGCGCACGTTACCGACGCCATGCATGTCCATGCGCCGCATGTATGACACACACACACACTTACTTGCACGGGGTTTGAAAGCTGTTTTTTTTTTGTTTTTTTTTTTTACTTTTTTTTTTTTTTTGTTTTTTTGATCGATTGATTGGTGGGGTGGGAGTGGTTGGACCTCCCCCGCACCCAATCACACCCAATCACACACACACACACACACACACACAGAGGGTTGTAGAATAAAATGTTCTCTTTTTTTTTTTTTAGTTTTCTATTTTTTTTTAAATCAAAATTAGAAAAATAAATATGGGTGTGTACTTTTTTTCAAACACCATACGCCCATTTTTTTTTCATCCATTAAAAAAAATAAGAAAAAATAAAAAACCAACCCTGACGCCCATTGCTTTTTTTTTTTGTTCAACGGGAATTCAACGGGATTCAACAGGATTCAACGGGGATTCAACGGGATTCAACGGGATTCAACGGGATTCAACGGGATGACAATTTGTTTTTGCTCCAGGCACATCCAGCGACGTGTTCGAGGCCCAATGCGCCCTCCCCGTTGAACAGTATTCAACGTGGAGGGCCCTTTGTACTATTCAACGGAGATTCAAAGGGACCCCAGGGCCAATTCAATGGGTACAACGACGTTGAAACTTTTTCGTTGCACGTTGAATAGACACACAGCCGCCGAGCTTCATTTGCAGGGAAATTGTCTTATGTTTTCGTCCGTTTGTGTGTTCGTGCGTATGTGTGACCTGCTCGAGCCAAGGTTAGTGTTCGTAGCAGCACTGTGTGCAGTCCTGACCATCAACCGTGCCTCCTGCTATTGTTGTGCATTCGAAGGGCTCCGTGCTACGCCACATTCGACAACAATATTTTGTTGCATAGGCTGAGCTGGTGGTTCCATGGCCCTAGGCGCATGATCCTCCTTGGGACCAGGCGCGAATAGAAGCACCCTCTGTCTGGGTGAGATGACGATCAGTGGGTTGCCAGGTTGTCTTTTGTTTGCTTGATCGACTGGCGAGTTCCCGATTCAACTACGATTTTGTCAAAACGGATATTTTTTATTTTTTGTACAGAATTGAAAGTCCATTTTTTGTCGATTTTTGTATGTAATTTATGAAGTCTTTTATGGGTATAGGGTCAGGGGTCAGGGGTAAAGGGGTAAGGGGTCAGGGGTCAGGGGTAAAGGGGTAAGGGGTAAGGGGTAAGGGGTAAGGGGTA